GTGTGTGTGTGTGTGTGTGTGTGTGTGTGTGTATGTGTGTGTGTGTGTGTGTGTGTGTGTGTGTGAGTGTGTGTATGTATGTGTGTGTGTGTGTATTGTTGAATAAAGAGAGCATGGTTCTGTGCGCATGGATTTACATGCACCTCTGTGTTGTTGTGTGTTACTGAAAGGCCTGCAGCCATACCTAAGCTAGTCAGACACATGCTCCTCCTCCCCCGAAATGTAAAGACAGAGGTCTGTGACAGACAGGGAAGGGGGAGAGAGGGTGAGAAGAGAAGACAGGCAAGGGGCAATTTGTCTCTGTGTTTGTTAGGGGGGTGGATGTTAAGTATCACTGCGAGTTATTTTTACCATGTTGTTCAGTGTACATTAAAGGAGCCCTATAATGCTACTCTTCAGGTGTATGTCAGTATGTTGTGCCTCTACAGTGATGTGTCTCCATGCTTTTATATTCCAAAAGCTCTTTGTTGTTCTCGTACTCCCTGTGCTGCAGCACCTCTTTTCACCCTCTGTCTGAAACCAGAGCCCAGTCTGCTCTGATTGGTTAGCTGGCCGGCTCTGTTGTGATTGGTCAACCGCTTATAGATGTCCTTTACTTATCCTATCACATACAATGTGTTAGAGCGATAGCCAATAGAAGCGCGAGTGTTACAGTGTGATGTCACGATGTTGTCTAAGTAAACAAAGGAGTCCAATGGAGGTGTGTCAGGCAGGGGGGATTTTAGCTTTTGGACACGCACATTTAAAAAAAACGTACTACAGGAAAGGGAAAACCCCAAAAAGCATAATAGGGCTTCTTTGAACAGAGATAAGGACATATGGACAGGAAGAACCCAATGTAGCTCTCTGTGTATTTTTGATGATGCTTTCAAAGTTTGAAAATCGTAAAATTCTGGCCGGATTGAAGCAGTGATGGAGCAATGGAGTCAAAGGAGCAGCTGGGGTTTAAACAAAGACACATAAGGCTATGTTTACACCTATCACTAGAGTACTTATCCTCTTCTGACCCTAATGTAAGCTTAGAAAAACTCAACACATCTGAACCACGTTTAAATTGGATTTTGGGTTAAAACTGATCAAATTCCCTATAATCCTACATGTAATACACGGTAAACAGCACACAGCTTTAGAAATGAACAATGGCTACAGCATCATTTGAGCTTAGAATGCAGCAATGCATCATGGGCCAGAGATGGAGGGTTTGCTACCTGAAGAAATGTGAGCAGAATATTCTAATGTGTCCACATCAGCATATTTGATCCTGGAAGCCTGTTTGCCTGCCACCCACATTGGATGTCTTTATGTCAAAAGGATTATAATGGGTATTAAAGCACAAAGCAGCCACATCTATGCAGCTTTTGTCATCCCCTCGTTCATATCACTTTCAGGCGAGACAGACATATGGGCTTTGAGGTAATCAGTCACTTCCTTTTGTTAGGGATCAGCGATGGGATGGTAACGGTAATAAAAGGACTTCTATTTAAACGTGGAATCCATATTGATTCATATGTATTTTCAAAGCCAGAGGAACAACTTAGGTGACTTACACAGGGTCGGCTGTCATATCTGAGATCTATCAACCGCTCAATCGTGTAATTTCTGTACAAATGGAGGCATCACGTTTCATTGAGCACCACTGTATCGTAGCATGCTGCGAGTCAGAGCTATCTATTAGGCATAAACACTTCAGCTGTGAGAAGATCCACCTTGACATGTTACTGCAGACACACAGCATCAGACGCACTGTGCTGCAGCACACTCATCAAAGGCTAGGAGAGTTCCACCAACATTAGTCCTAATCTTCCAATTATTTGTATTTATTATATATATTTGTATGTATTTATCCAATAATTGTATTTTTAATTTTAATTTAATCTTGAAATTTTTTGTTTTGTCTGACTGACAGTCCCAAACCGAAATACCTTCAGTTTCATATAATAGAGATATTTAAGAAAACCAGCAGATATTCACACAAAAACCAATAATTGCTGATTCATTTTTTGTCTATTAACCGATTGATTCATTGATAAATTGCTTTAAAACCAATCCACATAATAACCCTTAAGTCAATAATGAAGTGACCAATGTCAGTCTCCAAAGAAACACAACAGTTGTATGAAAGTTTGACCTACGAATTTGCCAATCACGAAGTGTTTCACTTTTGCATCAATAACCTAAGTTAAAAATAAAAGTATGCACTTAAAGTGAAATAATAAAATATCTAAAAACACATGAACATTTACAGAAACACAAACTACATCAAGAAAAAAAGATATTGAGATTGTGAATTTATGGCCATTACAGAATCATTATAAAGACACAATTCAAATATCTTTAGATTTCTACATTTCAGGCACAGCATTGTCAGAAAAACAGAGAGGAATGTAAGACCATCTCTGGAGAAATAATCCTGAGTTTCCCCAGCTCTGCCATGGTGCTACTGTGCCTCTCTCTGGCTCTCTGTGCTTGCTGTTGCCAGTGTGCGGTCCTGTGACTCCTATTACTTCATCCACAGTGCCCTGTCAGCGCTGGTTAACCACTCAAACATGAGCTAATGCAGCTAAAGTGAGCTTGCATCTTCATTCTCCCACTCCGCTTCCCGCAGGCTACAGATATGCACCATAGAACACAATGTACTAAACTTTACACGGCATGGCATGGGAGATGGTTGAATAAATATATAGGCTACAGGAAGTGATGATCTACTAGGGGAGCCCTCAGCCTCGGTTCATATTCATCCCTCTCCCTATTCATCATGCTTCTCTTTTTTTTCTATTTTCACACTGCTCCATCACCAGCCCCTGTCCCACCCTTCCTCCATCTCTTCAGAATCTCCATGCGGCCATTTTATCACTGTCAGCCCATCATGCTAGCCGTTGAGGGCCGGACTGCTGCTGCTGGTGGCTGATGGGACATATGGCTGGGCGCAGCTTTCCCCACACAGAGCAGTGTCTCGAGGCCCTGCGGAGCCCCCACAGTCTCCATGGGGATTTGATGTTAATGGCCACACTGGAAACAGCTGGTGGAGCGCTGGTCCGGTGAATGGCCAGAGGTTGGTCATGGCGCCGTGTTAGGGACAATCAGGCGTGTAATACTCGGCTCCGTAGAGCACTAGAGGGGTGGTATGCTAATGTGATTTCAGCTTCTATCCCCACTGCTACAGTCATTACGTATTCATGAGAGTTTCTTATGGGGACTTTTGATCTCTGAAAATGTGGAATAATATGTCACTGTGGAAATAGCAAGCTCACACACAGTCAGATGTGTCAGTTAGAGGACCAGTGGATTCTGGTCAACATCAATCCATGGGTAGGTAATACGTGACACACTTATTATGACTTATACATACAGAAAAAGTAGTTTTTAACATATTGATTCAATTCAATTTCAAATATGAATGAGTGCTGTGTGGGCTGCTGCCTAGTACTGGGGATCAGTTCTTACGGCGTTGGAAAGAGGTTCAAATCCAGCCCCTCTATCTGCCGCTCTCAAATGCATCTCTCTGGTAAGGCTAAATTGGGAAAAAATTATATTGGAATACAAAATATTTTAACAAAATAAATGGTTACAATAAGCCAATACGGAGGGTGACTAGGGGTAAATGAGAAGTGTTTCCTGATAACTGACAGCTTAAATATATGAAACACCCAAGACTGAAATGTCTTACAAACCGACGCAGGGGTGCCCACACTTTTTCAGCTTGGGAGCTACTTTTAAAATCCCCAAGCCCAAATGACCTACCTACAGGGCCGCCCCTGCCCAATCTCTGTCGCGAGTGCAG